TAGACATAACCGGCTAAATGAAAGTCTCAAAATCCAAATGAATCAAATAGGATTGACTCAGAAACGAGTCAATGAATGCACGCGTATCACCTGATCCACACTTGCACATCTTACTTGTTGCATGCGCAAATTCTGAGCTACATTAATACAAAACCGAGGTTTTGTATTAACAAATGTGTCTATTTTTTTACAAAATGCTGCACATTCATGCGATTCTTGATTTTGCACACACAAGTTGTATTGTTTTAGTTTAAATGTGACGCACATTAGTGAATTTGTCAAATAGATGGTTGTGCATACATTAATAACTCGCACCAGGCCTATTCATTTGTAGTTGTTTGTGTGTGGGTTGAGAAATGCTTAAAAACCGCGAAAAGAAAGTCTCAAAATCCAAATGAATCAAATAAGATTGACTCAGAAAAGACGTCAAAGAATGCACGCGTGTCACCTGATCCACACATGCACATCTTCTTTGTTGCATGCATGCGCAAATTATGATACACTAATACAAAAGAAAACATTTGTATTCACAAAAAAGTCTCTATTTGTACAAATTGCAACACATTCATTCAATTTTGAATTTTGCACACGCAAGTTGAAAGGCATTTGGTTGTGGATAGTAAAACATTTCTGCAACATTAATCAAGTTCATTGATATTTGTGCTTGCACGTGTTAATCATTTTGATACTATATTCATCCCATATTGTTTCGGCTCTGCTTGACTGCGGATGAATGTGGTTACCCTGTGCTCATAACACATTCGCAAAAATCTAAAACAAATTCTGTAAAAATAGGGCACAATGTGCTGTATTAATTGGACGAAATTTTCTGTATTTATTTTTTACAGGTATTTTGCATTTCGAACTTCCTTACGTTTTGTTTTAGGGTTAACAGAAATGTCTGTACAATTATTGGATAATGTTCGGGTAATAAGCTGTACTAGGCTTATATACTGTATAACCAGTTTAGATGGAAAGGATCTCAAGCTTACTAGATGAAGAAGTTATATATAGACATCATGGAACTTTTCAACCTATCTTGCTAGTTATGACAACTCCCACAGCATATATATATACACTGTGTGCAAAATGATTAGGCAAGTTGTATTTTTGAGAATTAATTTTATTATTGAACAACTACAGTGCTCTCAGTCAATCCAAAATGTTAATAAACCTCAATCCTGAATATTTAAGGAAGCAAAAGTGAGGTTTTGGCTTTCTTAGGAGAATATCTATGTGTGCACAATTATTGGGCAACTCTTAGTGTGCAGAATTATGCAGTAAAATGAAAATTTTCCCATCTCACTTGTTTATTTTAATCTGTTAAAGTGAGAATGATAAACAACTCAATTTACAAATAAACATCTCTGACATTTAAAAAAAAAAAAAAAAAAAAAATCAGTGACCAATAGCCACCCTTCTTTTCAATAACAGTTATTAGCCTTCCATTCATGGAGTCTGTCAGTTTCTTGATCTGTTGATGATCAACTTTTTGTGCAGCAGCCCCCACAGCCTCCCATACACTGTTCAGAGAGGTGTACTGTTTTCCTCCACCATAAATCTCCCGTTTAAGAAGGGCCCACAAGTTCTCAATAGGGTTTAAATCAGGTGACGAAGGGGGCCATGTCATAATTCTTTCATCTTTAAGGCCTTTACTGGCTAGCCACGCAGTGGAGTAGGCTACTTTAATGCATGCGATGTTAGCATTGTCCTGCATAAAAATCATGGTCTTCTTGAAAGAGGCAGACTTTTTCCTGTACCACTGCTTGAAGAAAGTATCTTCTAAAACTGGCAGTAGGTTTGGGAGTTCATTTTATGTCCATCTTCAACCCGAAAAGGTCCAACTCATCTTTAATAATACCAGCCCATACCATTACCCCACCTCCACCTTGCTGTCGTCTGAGTCGAAGTGGAGCTCTGTGCCCATTACTGATCCAGCCACGGGCCCATCCATCTGGTCCGTCAAGAGTCACTCTCATCTCATCAGTCCATAAAACCTTTGAAAAATCTGTCTTCAGATATTTCCTGGCCCAGTCTTGACGTTTCAACTTATGTTTCTTGTTCAGTGGTGGTCGGATTTCAGCCTTCCTTACCTTGGCCATGTCTCTGAGCACTGAACACCTTGTACTTCTGGGCACTCCAGGTAGGTTGCAGTTCTGGAATATGACAGCACTGGAGGATAATGGGTTCCTGGTAGCTTCACGTTTGATTCTTCTCAAATTTTTGGCAGTTAATTTGCGTTTTTTTTTTTTCTCAACACGTTTCTTGCGACTCTGTTGAGCATTTGCAACAAAACGTTTGATGGTTCTGTGACCACGCCCCAATATCTTAGCAATTTCAAGAGTGCTGCATCCCTCTGAAAGACTTTTTACAATTTTTGACTTTTCAGAGTCAGTTACATCTCTTTATTGGCCCATTTTGCCAGAGGAAAAGAAGCTGCCTAATAATTATGCACACCTTGATATAGGGTGTTGATCTCCTTAGGCCACACCCTCCCTCATTACACAAATACATATCACCTGAAATGCTTAAATCCAATAAGGATTCAAGTTTATACAGCTTGGAGTTAAAAAATCATTAAAATGAGGATATGGTCAAAATACTCACTTGCCTAATAATTCTGCACACAGTGTATATATATATATATATACAGTGTATATTATTTTTATTGTTTATAGCAAAACAACTAGCTATTAGTTAGTAGTCTAATAGTATTAATAATGATGATAATGGAAAAGAAAGAAAGAAAGAAAGAAAGAAAGAAAGAAAGAAAGAAAGAAAGAAAGAAAGAAAGAAAGAAAGAAAGAAAGAAAGAAAGAAAGAAAGAAAGAAAGAAAGAAAGAAAGAAAGAAAGAAAGAAAGAAAGAAAGAAAGAAAGAAAGAAAGAAAGAAAGAAAGAAAGAAAGAAAGAAAGAAAGAAAGATGATGATGATGAAAATAGGAAAAATTGAATTTGCACAACTTTTTATATATTTTGGCTGTGACAGGTTCTGACCTAGACTGACATGCATCTGATGAAACAACATTTGGCATTTTCTCAGGCAGGTTTGTAAAAGCTCTGTGTGTTCACACTGCGCCTTCGACCTTGCCACTAGTAAGATCAGACTGAGCAGTCTTTGTCAATGCACTTATAAGAAAGCCAAAGTTCTGAGTGTAAATATCCCAGTAGGAAGGCTTCTTGTTTCAAGGTTTCCACTTTGATAACCAATCAGCACTGACGAGATTTGCACACAGTATAATGAGGACTGATTGGAATTTAGTTCTTCAAACAGTCACTATTGATGCATTGAGTCTGATTTAATGTATAAACTCTGGCGATAAGCAGTGTTTATTTATTGATATGAAGTGCTTCCTAACATTTAAATTGAATAGTTTTTCAGTTATACTTGAATATAAATGACCATTTGTTTGTATACGTATTCTTATTTATTTCATATTGCCTTCAACACTTAGATAATATGTGATTCATTCATATGATATTTAAAAAGGTGACCCCTTTGAAGTGATCACCCACTTAGTGACCCTATTCATTCACATAAGAATGTTTTAATCTGGTCATATACTCATACGTTAACCTATCAGTGACTCTCTTCATGTCTGGTTTCACACTACTGGTCATGAGATGTGATTTGAGGCACCCAGGATAAGAAAGTACCAGAACACTAATGCTGCTCAGCATTTGAACATCCATGTGGATATTTACCCTGTTATTTTCAAGTCAAACTAAATGTATGATGACATTTAATGAAATTGCCATTATCTTGCTTTTCTGTTTCCACGGTTTGTCTAATCTTCTTTTTTTCAATTTAGCTTAATTGGATCTGGAGCCTGCTGTCTTATTAACTGACAAGATGACAAGAAGATTGTTTTAATAATCTTAGTTTTGCATAACAACAAAAATCAAAGGAAGATTAGAGCCAGTGAAAGAGTTGCACATGTTGTTGATTCATTTCTGTAGAGACCCAGATGATTGAAGGGAGAAGAATTAAGGCATAGGGTCATGAAGGACATAATTATGTCATGTTGTTACATTGCTGCTATTAGGGTTTACCAATGTCCACAAATGATTACTAATTGCTCCTCAGTGCCTCTCTAGGAAATCAACAACAAAAAAAAAAAAAAAAAAAACACTATTATAAAATAATGAAATAAAGTAGATTCCAATTTACCTGCCCTGATCTGTACTTTGCTGTCCATTTGCACAGAGGACATCAACAGAAATAAAAACATCAGTCACTGATATACAACACAGCACCCAGAGGAAATCCACGCAGACACATGCAAACTCCACACAGAAAGGCTTCCTGACTCAGCTGGGATTCGAAACGGAGACCTTCTTGATATGATGTGAAACTCCTGGCTCTATTTCTGCTACTTCAGCTAAAGGAGAACTACAAGCCTGATAGACGTCCATCTAGTGGAGAAAAACGTAATTGCAGCTTAATACATAATTTACCAGGGAAACGGTGGAAAAAATAAAACCGGATATATAATCCAGCAGACATACCTATAGAAATGCTCGTATAAGAACGGTAGATAATAACTTATTGTAAATATAACGGAGTCTAGAGTAGCTATTTAGAGTAAAATACGTTAATTAATTAGTAAATAAAAGAAATCTAATTTCTTTAATTTTTATTGTTATATTTTTAAAGCTTTATTTAGATTGAAACAACTCATTCAAAAAATGGATATGTATTCAAAAAATGGAAAAATATATACAAAATAATAACAACAATAACGACAATAGTACATTATAATAATAACAACAGCAAGAATACATTTAAAAAATAAAAGATAATTAAAAATGATAATAAAAACATGCGGAAATAAAGACTATAGGGGTATACAAGTCTAACCAACATCACTAATTCCGAGACAAGTACAAAAGCGCTTTGGGTTTTAGAAAAATGTATTATTATTAGTATTATTAATATAAAAGTCTCAAGGTCAAAGCTAACCTAAGCAGAGCGATCATGTGCTTACCCTCAATTACTACATTTCCCATGATGCCGCGCGCAGCAGCTCCATGTGGATATGTCTGGAGAACGTGCGAGTACATGACATAAGTCTATTGAGGAATGGAGCTCTGCGCGGACTCTCCATAAACTCACAGCAGACCTTCAAGAGGTGAATGTAAGTTGCCACTTTGTTTCTATAACTATTTCTTCCAGCTGATATATTTAGTTTTGTTTGAGCTGTTCTAGGTGTGTGTGTGTTTGATCCTGTTGGAGTGGCAAAGCAGTGTGTTGAAGTTAAGATCAGGGCCCTGTTGACTTGAGAAGCTCTAAGTTAGTGTTTTTACTTCTGCAAACGTCTATCTGTCCTCCAAAACAACCCCCCAATGTCATATGTTGAAGACTAACAAATAGTGATCATGCTTGTAGTTCTGGGCAAACTGATGTTACTTCATAAAAACAACATGTCAGGAATTGAACCCTAAACCTTTAGTAGATTAAACGTGTTTACACTTTTTTGACTGAGTAAATATCTGTATTCATATAATGTTATGAAGCTAAACATAAAGCAATACAATGTTATGAAGCTAAACATAAAGCACAACTAAGTTATAGTTTATCAGCTAAGATGCTTGGTCTTTTACTTAGAAGGTAGGAAACATGTTACAGTTGTGTTAAAAGCCTTGTACATATAACAACACTGAAGAAAGGGAATATTCTCCCTACTGCAAAAATGATAAGCCGATAATTAGTCAAGTTTAGCTGACTGGTTAAAACTAACCTCGTTAATCTTTGGAATTACAGTACTTTGTCTTTAACCTGATGAGTCTGGTGGTTGACAGAGAGCCATGACCCAAACCTCTGACCAAATAGCATGTGTTCATCATGCTCAGCCTGTGTGGCTTTTGAATCATTACTTATGACTAAATAGATCATGGATAGTAGCTAGAAATCAGGATGTTTTTTTATTGAAGACACTCCCATGTATCCCTGGCACTAGTTAGCTGTATATAGTGTAATTATCCAGGCCGACTCATACATACAACTTTATTAAATAATCATTAAATTTTTTGACTGCTATTGTAGATTCTGTCCGCCAGATGTTAATAGTTTGTGTGTAATTGTTGTATGACACTAACCTCTTTAGCCTGTCCAGGACCTGTAGGTGGCGCTCTGTTGGTGGGGGAGGTTATGCAGCGGATGTGGGCTCCAGTCGCACTGCGGCGTGTGGTCCTGCTGCGCTCGGCGTACCTGGGTCACACCCGGGCTTCGCGGGAGCTTCCTGTGACCGTCCGGACCTCACGCTGCTTCAGTTGCACTAATGTCATCAGGACGAAGGAAGGCCCCAAAACGTCCACAGAGGAAGAAACGCCATTAAACCCTCCACAAAGTCTAGCTGGGACTGAGGGTCTTTTTAAGGGTGATACGGAGTCTGGCCTTCAGAGTAAGGGTGATGTCGACCCTCTGCAGGACAAATCTATTGGGCTCTTCCAGAGATTTAAAAAGACATTTAAACAGTATGGTAAAGTCATGGTGCCTGTGCACGTCGTCACGTCCACAGTGTGGTTTGGGAGCTTCTATTATGCTGCAATGAAGTAAGTGACCAGCATCCTGCACAGAAACGCACCATTAGTAAAAACGAACAAGATGACAAGTGCCACGCTTCTATTTTCAGATGCTCTGTCTTTACTTCAGTTCTTTTTCTGAACGTGCTTTATTTTGGCATTGACTACAAAATTAAAGGATTTAAGACTATTTATGTATTACATTTAGTTTTTTATTTTTAATAAGGTTTTCATCTGGTGTTTTATAAAGATAACATTTTGCTGATAACTATTTTCATGCAATGACTGATAACACTAAATTGTCAATATTAAAATACACTATTTTGTCTAAATAAATGAAAACACTAAAAACTAAAATCATTTTAAATACTGTCGCTGAATATAGGCATCACAATATTATAAAGTACAGTATGAAAAATGGATATTCATTTTTGTATTTGTTAAATATTACATTTTCAGTGTTATTAAATTATTAGTGTTTTTAAAGAGTTAGTTTAAAGTGAATGTTAGTTGACAGCAAAGGTCATTTTAATGTAGAAAAGAGCATGTACAATTAAAATGAATTTAGAAATTAAACAAAAAGCTGATAACTAATATGGTACCGTTATAATATATGTGCTTCACTAATTAATGTAGCTTTATTAATATGATGTATTTATATATGTAAATGAGCTCATTATGTATGTTGATCTGTTGACTTGTGGTACTTGATGGGCTATAAGAGTTTTGAATTCAGTAAACTACATGAATTGAGGTGATTTTGCTTTAAAGATGAAAAGATACAGACTAAGCGCACAGACTTTAAGGTGAGGCTGGCAGGGAGATTGAGTTTTACCAGATAAAGTCTGTCTGAGCTTCAGCAGGACTGACAAGCTTTAACAGCGTCATCTGGACAATCAACACTTTGAGGTTACAACAGCAAACAATCTCTCTTGTAAAGATAAATGAGTGACATGTTAATGTTCTGTGTTCTCTGCAGAGGGGTGAACTTGGTCCCGTTTCTGGAGGTCATCGGTTTACCGGATTGGATGGTGGGAATTTTGAGAGATTCCCAGGGTGGCTATGCACTCACAGCATATGCCATGTATAAGGTATATAAACAAAATCTAAGATTATTTGACAATGACATGGATTTTTAATTATGTATATGATATATGAATAATCATTGTTAATGTTATTTTGTCGCTTTGTCTATCTGGTCACAGCTCGCTACTCCTGCCCGATACACAGTTACACTGGGCGGAACGTCCCTGTCTGTACAGTACCTCCGCAAACACGGATACCTCTCCACCCCTCCGCCTGTTAAAGGGTACCTGCAAGACAAAATGGAGGAGACCAGGGAACTACTGACTGAAAAAATGGAGGAGACGAAAGAGAGGTTTTCAGAGAAGATGGAGGAAACCAAAGAACTGCTCTCAGAACGAATGGAGGGGACTAAAGGGCGCTTCTCTGAGACTAAAGACAAATTTTCGGAGAAACTGCAGGAGACGAAAGACAAAATGTCTTTTCGTAAGAAAGCCGACTAGGCTGCATGGTATGCTGTGGTCCAATCAAGCCGCCAAGGGAAGAGAATAATTTCTAAAACCTAAGTGTATTGAGGAATGTTTCACATGATCAATAATTACTCACAATGTCACAAAGTGTTTGGTGATTACTTAAAGGCACAGTTCAACCAAAAATGTCTGACTGTCTTCTGCAGGACACAAAAGAAGATATTTGGGAAAAATAATTCTGTCCATATAAGAAAACTCAGTGGAGTTCAAAACAACACTTGAACCCATTGACTTTCATTGTATTGTCAAACATTGTTCATACAGGTTTGGAACAATATGAGGGTGAGTAAATGATGACAGAATTTTCATTTTTTGGTGAACTATACCTTTAAGGTATTGAATGTTCGCACACAAGATCTATTATCATGTCAAATGGTTTCCATGCACTTGAATTTACAAGTTGAGTGCTTTGGAGAGAAACAAACTTGAACTAGCAGTAATACTAGAATTATATTACCGAATTAAGCCAAAATCAAATTAAGAGTGTTTGTGTGAGTTTATTTTAGTTCAATTGTTTTAATGTAAGACTATTGGAAATATTTCTACTTAATCAAGTGATAATTAATATCTATATTTAATGATTTTCATTGTTTTATCATGTTTGTATTTGAGTTTTTGTGCATATTGCCTACACAGTAATCTAGACTGTGCAATGTCTTGAATTGCACTTTGTGCTTATGTAGTGTCTGGATTGCATACAAAGTCAGTGGGTAAAAAAGACAATTGATAACCCACTTTGTTCCTCTTTTGACATTTCAAAATGTTTACTTTTATCAAAAAATATTACTTGAATGAAACTTTTTTTTTAATCTAAACTCAAATCACCTCAAAATGCCAATGTCCATTGAGAGAATAATAAAAATTGATAATATGACATGTTCAGGATATTATTTCAATTCAAAAAACCTACAAGTATCAGACACGTCAGCAACTGGTACTTTTAGTTTATTAGTTTAACTGCAGTTGGACAACAGCAGAAGTACAAGCATAAAAGTTTGACTATAACAGTGATTAGAGCAACATGTTTTGATTACTTATTCTGAAAATAAAAAAGCATTACAATAACAGACCTTATGCTTAAAACCTATTAATTACAACACTATGATGTAAGTAAAATAAATATCTACGTATGCATGTTTGTAAAATGTCCACGCACATGAACATACGAAGCATCATGAGCAGGGGGGGAATTTATAGAATATAAAAGGTCTGATATTGTGCCGATTTTTATTTATGAATGTCTGTTATCAGACACTCGATAAGCATCAGAGTAAAACAAGTCTAACCCATTTCAGTTATTGTTAGTTCTCTGTGCTTGTGCAAGAAAGAAAAGCTTCAAACACATCTTGGTACATTGCTCAAAAAGTCACAACTGCTGTTAGTCAGGTGCTTGTAGTCAAAATGGCGTCGCTATGTACATTATCTTCAGGTTTATAACTATAGACATGCGAATACAAGCTACTGTACAGTGGAGCACCAGCACATAAATATTTGCAATTTAAAATCTTTTTTTTTTTTTTTTTGCTCCTATACACTACATACACAAGAATGTCTGAAATACAGTATATAACAAAAATAAGAATGTTAAAACTACATCTCTCATTTGGTTCATTATTAAACTTGCAAATACAGGAAGCACAACACAGGGTGGCATGAAAAATCATGTACATGTTGGGCTTAAAATGAACACTTGTTTTAAGCAAGACTGTCATATCACAATCCCTCAGAGTTTGCGTCTGTAAGTGGGAGTCTGGCACTGCTAACTAGTTTCCATTCACTGGATCCCAATTTATGACTTAGTTTAACTAGGTTAGAATGGTTTTCTGATTAAAAACCTAGTCAAATAAATCTTTTTGCATCCGTGCAAGTGTGCCTTTTGTGGTTGGGGCAGTATTTAAAGAAACATTCTAATCCAGAACAGCATTTTCATTCTTTCTGTAGCAAGATGTTACTCAATAACAATCTATGAAATGCTCTGTAGCTTAGTATTTTCATTAAGCATCTTTCTGATAATGAATTTTCTTGTTCGCCAAAAATAAAAAAAAATAAAAAAAGCACATTTGAACTGAAGGCATTTACAAATCCGTTGCCATCATGTTAAAATCTTTATATCAACTATAAATTGTTACATTATTAACAATGTCTTTTTTCTGTGGTTTCTACCCATTGGGTAGGATATGTGCATTCAGACTAACTTTATTTACAGCACCTTACAAATAAAAGATAAAAAAAAAAAAAAAAAAACACATTACACAGAAGAAAGCACCATTGGAAGTGAGGCACAGCTAAGGTGGGAACTTTTAGAGTGCAAGTGGGTTCCTACGTCGCTCAAAAACAACACGATCGATAGGCACCGATTCAGCTCGTGAGTAACATGCAAACTCCTTGGACAGTAGAAAACGGCACAAAGCTCTTCCTTTGAGATGGAAACAAATTGTGGAGGACAAAGGGAAGTATTTACCAGGATGGTGCAAGGATGGATGATGGACAGACAGGCAAAATAAAAAAAGTGCAGCAGATGAGAAGCAGCATAGCAGCAGCAGCAGCGGGAGCAGCAAACTGACTAATGAAATGGTTGAAGACAGCCAGTGAAAAGAATAGAGGGACAGGTAACAGGGAAAGCATACAGTTCTGAATGCAGTGACATTGTGCTCTCGCGTTGCTCTTTGTAGCCTTGGTTAATTTTCCCAGATGAACTGAGAGAAACATCTCCCTCTGACTCTGCAATGTTGTGAGCTTTTTAAAGCATGTGCTTGAAAGACAAGAGCATAATACACCATTCAAACGACTCTACAATTCTATACTGAGCTTAGCTGCTGGAATTTAGCCATTCTTATGGGACTTTCTGGGATTCTAGAATAATAATTTTGAAATTCTGGGATTATTACATTTAAATTGGCTAGAAATCCAGAAGCTAAAAGAGATAGGATTCTAGAATTCAAAAAAAAAAAAAAAAACACTTTCACCATTTTTTTTTTTACTTCATAGCAAATTAACAAGCTTTTGTTTAACTGAACATTCTGACTTCGTGAAACATACCTCAAACAAATTATTATTTTTTAAATAATAGCATTTTGTTTCTCCGGTTTACCAAATAGAGGAAACAAATATGGAATCACCTTGTAATTTGCATTTCTGAAACATATATATACCGTTAAAGTTTTTGTTCAGGAAAGACATATCAACTCAATGACATTGCCAGAAAACAGTCCAGATCTCAATCTGAATGAAAAACTAGTTTAATGGAGAATTAGTCCATGCCTCAAAAAAGAAAAACACCATAATAAAAGTCCAAAAAAGAAGCAACAAAGTACTAATTGTGTGTTTTTGTTGATGATTCCATAATTTTCCCTCAATCTGATATGGAAAACAATATGCAATTAATAAAAAAAAACTGTAATGGAACCACAATGTTCAGCTATTAAACAGACATTGTTTTGTGTCATATCTGTGATTTGTTGATTTGCTATAAAGCAAAAAAAGCTGGTTGAACGTCCTCCAAGTGTGGCGATTCCAACATTTTTGCTAAAGCCGGGTGCACAGTTACACACAGTACGATTTACAAATAGTCCTTATGATTGTTGCGAACATGTTCCTCGCTGTAAGCCATTTCACACTGTAAGATCTCAGTTGTCATTGATGTCAGACTGTACGGCAGTCAAGACGCGTTAAAAACAGACGCACACAAGAAAGCTCGCCCGGATGACGCGCGACGCGTTCGGTGACTGTGATTACACGCGGGATTGAAATGGTGGCTACAGGGAAATCTCTAATGTAGATTTTGGTCGTGGCTTGTCTTGAAAAACAAAGACAATTTGATGGTCGTCGTAGAAGTCACACTGCAGGACTGTGAGTCAAATCTTCTGACAATGCCAGAATTTTGTCTGAGGTAAAATTTGCCTTTTTTTTTTCTTTTTTTTCTTTTTTTTGCAACGGTCGGTCAGTGAACATGTCAAACTAACGATCAAAGACTTCAGACTTCAAAATTAGTCTCAGACGGCCAAATCGTGGCCAAAATCGTACAGTGTGCACCAGGCTTAAGGGATGTAACAGCTAGGATTCTAAAATTCCAAATCTAGCCCAGGTATTCAGATTCAAGAATTCCAAATCTAGTCCAGTTTGATGTGGTCCTAGAAATCTAAATATAGAAGAGGAGAGTGCTGATGTGTTAAGTCTGGTTTAAAGCACATGGGTCCAGAAGACATCATTTCTGTCCACATAGAAAAAAAAAAAAAAGAAAAGAATAAAGCCAACCAACACAGACATGAAATAAAAGCATTCAAACACATTTTGATTGGCCGACTCTTAACATTCTGAGTACAAATAGAGTAGCTTATAAAGGTGAATATGTTGCTTTTGAATTTTTTTGACCATGATCCTCAGCACAAAAAAAAGAAAGAAATAAAAATCACCATGTCCTTTTCACAAGTCCATCTGTCCTTGACAGACTCAGTGGTGACTAAAAACAGGGCCTCAGTCTTCAGTCTCCTTATTAAAGGGATGTGTGTGCACTAAATGGTAAGAGTCTTTGGGGTTTCTTCGAGATTTTCTCTACCTCTGCACCAGATTCTTGGTCAGAGAAACATCCTCTAGCCTAAATGATTGTGATCGATTACACCCAAGCTTGAACTGAATGCAGAGAGCCGCTCTGAGAAGTACAGATCTTTGATTTCCTGACTGTATGTCTACGTGGCAAATAAGAGGAACACATATGGACAGGAAGAGTTCGATGTTCAGGACTGGTGCGTGCTGAAGCTGGTGTCAGGGTCGGGTTCACTCTGGTTGGTGACAGAGAGAGAGCAAAGGCAACAGGACAGAGGATTGCTGGGTAAAAATAGGTATTTTCAAAAATGCCCATCACATTAGCCCTTGACTTCACCACATTTTTAAACCTGATTAATTCTTGTTGGGGACTAGATAATACAACACGCAAAAGTTTTTTTTTTTATTCTTCGACCGCACTGGCATTTTGATTAGAAGATTATGCCAATGAATGTCTATGTTCTGGTATTGGCTGTAAGAGGTGGTAACCCAAAAAAAAAGTGTGGAAAATGTTCGCAGGTAGTGACTAGTGTCAAAAACAAAAACAAAAAAAAAGATTAAAAAAAAAACGCACTACAATAGAGAACTGGATTATTTTATAGGTTCATTCGGTTTCAGTTTTGACTTGAAAGCAAAAGTGCAAAAGG